GATTTTTTGCTGTATTGGTACTGAACCGATCTTGGCAAAAGCTAAACATAAGCATATTAGAAAGTGGTAAGGTTTCAGCAAAAACTTTTTCTTAACTGGTCATAATCTCTATTTGGTTCTACAAAATAATTTATCAGGATTTTTCCGAAGAAGTACTATTTTCTAAGTTTCCTATTAATTTTTTTGCTGCTTTCATTTTTGAACTCACCTTTCATGGAAACTCAGGCAGCACCAGGGAATTAAGAGGGAATATAGTATCAATTGAACGAACAATTTGCCGGTAGAGGTAAAGTTAGTGATAAACCTCAAACGTCTGAATTTCAATTTTTATTTCGTGGGAGCTTACGTTTAAAAGACAAAAATTTTTACTAAATGAGTAACTACCTTAAATTTTGTCAGCAAAAATACAGTTTTCTTTACCAATTACAATCAAATACTTGCTAAATATTCGTAATTTCTCCTTTTAATCTCGATTTTGCTCAAAATTTCTAAAAACGGTTCAAGTGAGAGAGAATTTAAATATTCTAAAACAATCAAATTAGAATACATAATACCTGGTGGAAAAGGAGTTCCAATTTCTCATCAGCATTTTTTAAAAAATCTATTACTTATAACCTGAATTGAAGCAAAAAAACTAGAGAACTAAATTCTTCTTTGTTTTGTCAAAAGGCTTCATTTTAATTTTGAAGTGAATTTCCAGTTCAGACTTAAGTGTTTTATTATCTGGGAGTGTTATCCAATTTTTCATATTTTTGTCATCGTCAATTACCAAAAACAGTAAAAATGGCTATTTTCGATGCAGAAGCCACCTTTTTTTGGTTAAAAACGCACTAATCTATGAACTCAATCAAAGACACTAACTTACGAATTTTATAAAATAATAGCTAGGCAAAACGAATCTTCTAGTCAATGTTTTATAATTCTCCATTACTTTCGTTACAATTTTGTCACAAATACGTATCCATTTATTAGGTCAATTATGTAATTTTACGGCTAATTCAAAACAAGAAAATCCCCGTAAGCAAGTCAGCTTTGCAGTTTGCACTGAAGACTGAAGGTTTTCGGATAGACTTCCCATGAGATTTTCACAATAATTGAATCTCATTCTCGATCGAGTTGGTTTTATCATCAATCAGAACCTTTGAATAAAAGTATAAATGAACAATTGGGAAATGCGTTGAAATTGATTCAGTCTATTTACTAGAAAAATTTTCTATCAGTTTTTATCAAAATACCAGAGCTTTATAAAAATTGCAGATGTCTATTTTTTTCGTTCCAATTTCTCATTAAATATATTATTTGCTGTTTACTATGTTTAGATATAAAATTTTAATTATAACTTCTCGTGGAGTAGGCTTGGAGACTGCGACCCGTGTTTTCCATCACCTTGACAAACATTATTTTGCCAAGTAAAATGCTTCTTCTTGAAAAGAATAATCAGTTCCTCGGTGCTATATGTTTGAAAATTACAACCTGGATATTTCTAAACTCCCGTGCGTAACATCTACCACACTCAAGACGCAATCTACCACACGCAATTTTTTCTTTTCAATTTTATGATCACATCTCGATAATTAAGAAAGAATTTGAGAACAAACGGGAGATTGAGAAAGCCCCAAAATTCAAAGTAGGAGTATTACACTAATTTTTAGTAGTCCCAAGAAATGGAAAAAAAGAGAGTTAACAAGTATGCATGTTGCATCATCAAATGTCTGTCAACGTAAAGGAACATCAGAATGGATTTCATCCTAGCTGATGCAGCTAAATTAAAAATCAATCAATCAGTATCGAACTCTATTTATTGCGGAACTTTCGAAAATTTTGATAACAACCAATCAGAAACGAGTTCTGCTTATCATCAATTTTTCAATCGTTTCGATGTCAACCAATCAGAATCAAGCTTTTCCTATCATGAAACTTTCAAAAGTTTTGACATCAACCAATCAGAAGGAAGTATTGTATTGGTCACATTGTTTATTCAAGATCAACATCAAACAAAGACTCTTTATAGAAACTTACTCAATCAAAGGGTTTTCTTTTGAGCCAAGTATTGAGTATCAAAGCTTTAAACTTACGGCTGAATTACACCTGACAAGAAAAAGTTTTTGTTTTTTTTCGAAATTTTGAAATTGATCAAGAAGTCGTATGATAATATATCAAAGACTCTTTTTATCCCTTACCCAATTCCCAATTTTGTCAAAACTCTCCAGCAAAGTTCTTTATTCCTCCATTTCTTAAAAGATTTTCAAAGTTCAAAATTCTGCAAGATCAGGATTGAAATAAAATTTCCAGTGATTTGCTTTGAAAAATTCATCAACTTCGAGCTATCCTCTCAAGATTACATCAAAGTCAAAGAACTTGACTATCTACTCCAAAATCAACATTTTTTCATTGATTATATACAGAAAATTCGGTTGACTTGATGAGAAAACTTGCAGAGATGCTTCTTTTTATAATGTTTTTTCTTGTGTTACTTGTTTCTGTGATATTTCTTATTTTTACAGGAAACAACCTGTGATCATTTATTTTTGCATTGTCCTTTGTGTGTATTCTTACTTATATGGAAGAATTAGGTCCTTAAATGTAAGTTTTCTCTAATTGGATACGATAACCAGAACCAAATTGAATACTTTTTGTGATTGAAAACGACAATGTCCAAAAAGTTTCTAAAATGGAACTTTATTTCTGGTTGGATACGACCTTATTATAAAGTTTCCATAAACATAGCTGAAATCTGATTGGACACGACTACAGACCAAATAGGGAAAATGAATTCTGATTGGTTAACCCACACATTTGAGTTGAAGGTATCCCTCACTCTTAACTCAATATCTATTTATTTTCATTTTGACTGCCGTCAACTAACTCCTCTCTCAGTTCCAAATCTTTTAATTTCAACTTAACTACTGTCAACTAGCTCATCTCTCAGCTCTAAGTATTTTAATTTCACTTTAACTGCCGTCAACTACCTCCTCTCTCAGCTCTAAATCAGTCACTTTTCTGGTTTAGATTTTGCCAACATCGATTCAGCACCAGTACAGTTTGATAAACAGAAAATTTGTGGAATTTGAGAAAAGAGCGTACTTCAACCAAAATTTAATGTATTTTGTCAAATAGTAGATGTAGTTTTTGAAAAATTTCTCTAAAACTTCCTTCAACATTTCCAGTTTTTGAATATCTTGATAATTCTGATAAAAACTTGTGATAGAATATGAGCTTGCTTTGATCGCTTTAGCCAGAACTTTGAATTTTTTTTAGAATTTGCATTGATTTTAATTATAGGCACACACGTAATTTGCTCCGAGTTCTGTTTAGAAAGAAAAAGTTTCCAAGCATTTAATTCGAAAAAATCAAAATTTATTTTAAAATCGTAAAAAAAATTCATAATTCAATTGAAATGATAAGAAACTGTCTTTGTTGTCATACTTATTTAATTGGAACCAGCTGCTTGTTACCAGAACCTTAGGGTTTTGAGTTCGATTTTATCTCAGATCTTATCTCATCTCAGAATTATCTTAATGCACCACAAAATAGAGCTGAGGTTCATCCCAAATTTTTTCTGTCGTTAAAAACAGCGGGATCCAAACCCTGAAGTCCACAAAATGCGAAGATTTTTTTATTTCAGACTTTATTTGTACGGATTTATAGGTTTCATTGAGCGGCAGAATAAAGGTTTATCTAAATTTCACAGGTATCAATGTTTCATAATTCAACAGAATTTTTAGCAAAGCAGGAAACATTATTTGCATTTTAATTCTTTCATTCTCAAGCCTGTAGTCCGAAGATTTTATTTTCAGCCCATCCTGATTTATACAAACTGCTGAGTTTCTTTAGAAAAGTACTTTGGTAAAAATGACTCTATCTCTCTGATCTTCAGAGGCAACTATTATGATCTTAAACAAAGAAGGAAGGTTCCAATGTTGATATTCTGTCTGTCCTTTTACGAGGTAGGTTGTTCCGTTAGTCAGTTCGAGCTGAACTTCAGGTTTTTTAATTTTTTTTTCCTGATTTCGACAGAACATTACGCAATCAACATTTCTATTTAATTACCAGTCCGTTGCCATTTTTTTTCAATGGAAGCCGTGCTTTTTTGCAAACGTTTTTGTTACAAAACTATTTTGTTTTCTTGATTTTGCTGCGTACGAGTTTATATCTGGTTTTAATAAGCAGCATCCGCTCAATTGGAGCTCATTCCGTGCCGATTGAATTTAAGGTTCAATCAGTGCTTGTAGTGGTTGAGTGGTTATTGTTAGTGACTCTGAATCTAGAGCTCCGTATCTATCTAGTTGCCTCTTGTTTTTCAGGGCTTGATTTTTATTTGATCACCTTTGTCTTCTATAGCGTGTGCCGTTGAAAGGTGTTTGATGTTTGTGATTTCGCTACCGTTTCTGATGGAGTATCGGAAGCTAAGAAGCTTCGCTTCTCAGACTATAAACTGATGCTCAAGGGAAAAAACTTATTGTTTCGAGATTTTTTTCCAATATAGCTCGTAGTGCTGCAGGCGAAAATGACCAATTTTTATTCACTTTCTTTTTCAATTTCAAGACAAAAACAGTAAAAGAACTATAGCAAAATTGCAAATTTATGCTCAAATGTTTTTTCCTGATAATTCCGCCTTCCCTAGACAGCAAGCTTTGTTATTTTGTTTCATTGAAATTGGGCTTGAATAGTATTTAGACGGAGAAAACATCCTGCCTGTCGGTGGCAGTAAATAAAAACGATGTTTACTTTATCTTATTGTTTCCCTTCGACAATTACACACCATTTTTAGGAAAAGATGAGACCCCTGATGAACATATTTGTAGATGTTTTGATTCAAAGAAAAACCGCTATTATAGTTGTTGTTATGTTATTCGCATTTCCTCTCTTTCTTTTTTCTCCAGGAGGCGATTTTTGATCAATCTGTTTTCTGAATTTCTTTTTTCATCACAAAGACTGTTTTCTTTGTTTTCAGCATTCATCGCTATACTTAATTAATTTTGAGAAACTATTTCCCCTCCGCCGGTTGGTAGTGTTGCTCACTACGATTTTTCGTTTTTTAAATTTCTATTGATGAAAGTTGAATAATTTTGAAATTCAACCGCCCGCTGTTATTGGAACGAGACGCAGGTATGGAAAGCAATCGCTCATGTTTTGATTTTGTAGCTGACTTTTCTCGCCGACAATTTTCTATTGAGAAAATAATAAGTGAGAGGGAGCACCATTACTGGAGTTTCATGAATAACAACCAATTATCTTAGGATAGTTTTCATTGTCAGTCTTCACAAAAATATTCGATTATAACTGATTAAAAATCGATTGTACGTTTCTTTTTTTTTGTCAAATCGGGCAACAGGGGGTCGCTTGTGAAAATAGAAGCGGATGTCGAATATTTGGGTGGTGGTGTACACGGGAATGAATATGTTGGTTCCGTGCCTGTACAAAGCAGTCCAATACAAAACATTCCTGTACTTAAAATTCCGAAAAACCATAGCAAAGTACAAAAAACAGTCCCACACAAAACCGTCCCAAAAATAATCACGAAAAAAGTCCAAAAATCAGTCCCAATAATCGAAGTGATAATTGTTTCAGAAATTTATTGAAAACTTGTCTCGGATTAAAGACATTTTGATTCCAGGTAATCTGGATGACAATGAGTAGTATAAAGGCCACTCATTCAAAGCAATAATACGAGAAACATAAAAGTTAAGGTAATTTACAAAAAAAAGATTCTTTATTTATTCTATGCAAAAAGAGACCGGTTGTTCCAATTGCTTCATTTGCGAAAACTTGGCAAAACTCAATAGAAACGAAACTCACTAACTATTGGTGGAAATTGTATTTACTAACAAAAATTCTAAGAGTTACTATTCTGCAGGGTATGATTTTATTAAACACCGAACACTGTCAGAAAACTTATTTTCTTGGCGCTGCGCACAAATTAGTTACAATTTACGTGTGCGTAGAAAAGAGGACTTCGTTGAGATCACAGCCACTTTCCCGATGCGGCTGAGATCGAAAACCGTAATTTAAAAAACGCTCAAAGATCGAGCAGCAGTTTTTGACGTAACGCCACGACAGACAATTTTTGCAACCCAGCAAAACGACGCCAAACTCTGCACTGGATAAGCGCTCAATTTTCAGTCTGCACGTTCCTGGATTCCAGAGACAATTTTCTAAACATTAAAATTTTGTCGGAACGATCAAAGAAAAAGAGAGAACAAAAAAAGAACAAAAGGAGCGTCCTTGTTGGTTCCGAAATACGCTTACAATTCACAAAATACACAGTTTGGCTTCGTATTGAGCGTGATTTGAACCGAGAAACAGTTGTTCATTTTCCAAGTTATTCTGCTAATCAGCCAGTTGTAAAAAGATTTACCACTGACCCTACAGAAAACTCAAAATGAGGAACAGTTACTTTTGCACGATTCTGTTTTTTTTTGTATGAGACTGTTTTTTAGATCTTTTTTGATGTTTCGGACCTTTTTGCCTGGGATTGTTTTTTATGGTACTGTTTTGTATATGCACCGTTCGTTCGGGTCCTAGTTTTGCAGAACGCTGCAAAAATTAGAGGAAATAATTCTCAATTACAAACAACAATTGAGTTTTATGTATTTTATGAACAAAAACAATCAATTGTTTTGAAACCAAAAATAAACTAAAATAGATTATAACGGACTTTCCAATATTGAAATCCCCTAAATTTTGATTCTCGTGGTTAAATGTATTATAAAAGTTGAATTTTCTGATTTAATGTTTTTCGATATAACCCATCAAAAACGATTATTTCTTCTAAAATTTAGTGTCGGCAATTATATTGAGCAAAAAAATTTAGGTAAAAAATTTAATAATTGGCAAAAAAATCGATTAAAAAGAATAGTTTACTTGAAATTGCATTTGATTTATTATGTCATTCGATTGCTGCATACCAAATACATGCAATAGACTCTAGGTTTGGTAATACTTAGCCGCTTCTAGCCTGTGCTGTCTGGGAATTAGTAGGGGGTTTTCTGCTAAAATACACTTTCGTTATCAATTTTTTCGTTTTCGGTTTTAGTGCGACTTCTGAAGAGAGGATGAATTTTTTGTGCTGGGTGTTTTATTTTCAGTCAAGTTTCGATTTTTTAACTAGGATTTTTAATCAGACTTTTTGTCGTCTAAAATTTGTTGTTTTCTGATCTACTAAAATGTTTTTTCTTCTGTATTAGTTTTTCTTAAAGCTATGGCGGTTGTTAAATTGCCAATTTGGGTCAATAAACACGCAAAATTTTTGCGTTTTGCAATGGATGAGCGGTGGTTAAATACGGCTCGACATCGCTCCAATTTGATTTGAGACAAGATAGTTAGTAACTATTAACACGTTGCTAGACGCTAATTAGAATCATTTAGTACTATTTATAGCATGTGAGGGATAGTTTAAAAAATAAATACCCAGAAAAAAACTTTTCTTCTTTTTGTTGTGAGAATTTGCCATTCTTTAAAACTTGGCAAAAAAAAGACTTATTCCTTGGAACTTGAGGGTCACTGTATACAGCCCTGAACGACGGTAGTGCGGGTTGCATGAGGCGCCATTGGAATCTCATGGTACCAATGTAATTGGCGACAAAACAAAAGGGGCACGCAGAAGTCATCTTTTCTTTCTAAAACTCTAGGAATGCTAAGTAGCTACATTTATAGATTGATGAAGGCAAGTCAATAATTTGACATAACTGTTCCAATTTTTCGCTAAGCCTTACTTGCGTGTTATCAACAGTTTACCTGCTGGAATTTTGAAGATTAGCTGAGGACAATTAATTGATGGAAATTTTCAATCTTTGACCGGGTGGATTTTAAGGTGTCATTAACGAAAGGAAAAACTTAATTTATTTAATTTTGTTGTTTAAGCAGGGGCACAACATCGGTTCGCCGTGATGAGCTATACAGCTAGTATCATGATCCTTTCCCTCGTGGATAATGGTCTTAATTAATGATGTTTGATTAATTTATAAAATTACTTTAGCCCCTCCCTACGATAGCGAAAGGGGAAATGGCACGAAAAATTGAAAACTAATTTTAGTTTTAGAAATGGATTTTAATTTATACATTTTCCAACAGCACGCATGTAGGCCGGTCCCATTTTTGATCAATATTACTCAAACTGTGCTAGCTATTGAACGAAATTGTCAATTCAAAAAAATTTCTTGACAATTTTTGGACTCCCTGTTGGCTATGTTTTGTTTGGAAAGCGGTAGCTAACTGATTGTCTCACTAATTTTGCGACGATTTTAGCTAGTACAGCTAATTATCAATCATATCTAACGCGGCTTATTTAAACTCTTCACTGCATTTTTCTCAACTCAATTCCACACGCCTGAAGGAACTATTCGAAAATTAGCCAATTATTTCTGAGGGATGGTTCGTTTGTGAGAAATTTGCATACCTGAGGTACCTATATCTCAAAAATTATTTTATTTACCATAATCAATCTTTGAAGAATAAAAAAATGAAGCCGCCGGATAAAAATAAGCTGCAAATTTGGTCAGCTTTGGGCAATTGTTTGTTGATCGTTGAGATGTGATTAGTTGAGAATTCTTGTGCGCTCGGTCTTCTGTCATGAGAATACCCCCTTTTCGTTTCGGTCATTAATGTTCTGCTACCTTGATTTGAGAACAATAAATTTGACTTGTTAAATTTCTTGAGACATCAAAATGGTAAGTCGGTCACCCGGGTTGACCAAAACTTATCATACATTTTCCATATATGAGCAAACTCTTGTCATATAACTTCATGCAATTCCATACTTACAGGAAACTGCATGAAATCTCTATGAAAAGCATTTTTCCATATGAAAATTGTATGATAGGTGTTTTTCCATAAACCAAAAAGTAAATTTTTGTTTCTAAATTCAATTTCTGAAAAATTTTGGGTTGTGTTTGTAACCGAACACAAGTGACAAAGACCTTGGTTTACTCAAAGCACCAAAGCTTGGACAGTCACGCAATTGCAATGCATAGAAAACGACTTGAATCGTCTTAGAGCTGCCTTTTACAAATGATATATGGAATGTACCAAACTTTAAAACTTAGGCAAAATTTTTCAACGATGATTATTTAAAAAATTTGATTTTTTAAATTATCAGACATTGTTCAAGGCATACATAAACACGCCATACAAAAGAAATAGGAGTTTTAAGCGTTTTTGAAAAAATTTATAAAGCGAAAAGAAAAAAAATCCAACATTATCGTATCTCCTGGATACGATAATGTTGGATTTTTTTTCCTTTTCGCTTTATAAATTTTTTCAAAAACGCTAAAAACTCCTATTTCTTTTGTATGGCGTGTTAATGTATGCCTTGAACAATTTCTGATAATTTAAAATTGGTTATGCACACAAAAATTGAATTTCGCATGCAAAAATTTTTTTGGAAAATGTTCGTTTGCGTACAAAATTCGATTTGCGGTTGAAAAAAAAACGAAATAAAAGTTTGGGGCGGAGCCGAAATTACTTGGAATATTTTTTTGTGTCGACATCAAAAATATGCGAGTCATACATTTTCCATATATGGCAATTGTCTGATAAGCAATTTTTTCAAAAAACGAAAATCTTGGTTTTTCATCACCAGAATGTTTTATTAGAATCAAACAGCCGCATAAATTAGTTCATATCTTTTTTCAACCATTTTTATAAATTGTATGAAAATTGTATGACAAGCATTTTTCCAGACACTTCCTGTATGGAATTGTATGATAAGCATTTTCGTTGCATGAAGGTCAACCCGGGTAGACAAAACTTAACACTAGACAAAACCAGATAATTGTAATAATCTTCGAGTTTGAGTTCTTAAAGTTTCTGCTTTTGTTTTACATGAACTCTTTTGGTTTTGGTGAACCAATTTTTTTCGGTAGTTTTTCGGCAAATTTTGCGTGCTTCAATTGAACATAATTAGGTGATATTCATTGTAAGAAAAATTTTATAAAGTTTTTCTTGTGAAAATGAACAAGGAATCTCAACGTGGAGAAGAAGAATGCTCGTGAAACTATCTGCTCTTCATTAATATCGTGACTGAGTAGGCAAAAAACAGAACGTTTTGTTTTGTTTTGTAATTCAAATCAAAGTCCATTGTGTTTTTTCTTGCAATTAGCAAAATTATT